TTGTACAATCTCACCTTGCTGTAATTTACCCCCCTAATTCAGCTGGTGGACTAATTTCTCACTTTTTCACGTAATCTGCTGGGTTTATTCTGAATCAATAGGGAAACACAACCAGAGTGCACAAGTGGAAATTATTCTAGGGGTTGTGGGGTCGAGAAAAAGCTACCCTGACATAAATGAGATCCTCACATGAATTAGTTAACAGAAATAAAATGATTTAATTGGGCCAAGAGGTCTCTCCTTCTCCATACCTTTCTCATATTCATATCTTGTCTACCAAGAACTGTTCAAGCACGGGAGGTATTTTAAAGTCCTGACAAGCAACTGGGCATAAAGATACATCCAGGATGGAATAGTAGTCCATCACAGGTCACTGACGAATATACATATGCACACCAGGGCCAATTTATCCCAGAAGCCAATTAACTTACCAGTATGTTTTAAGGACTGTGGGAAGAAACTGGACCACCCAGAGGAAGTACATGTAAACACAGGGAAACCATGCAAATTTACATCATTATTTACATATATAAAGAGTGTACAACTTTGGTTTCAAAGGTCTGAGTTCCAATTGGTGTTAAAAATCTCTTTAATTTAAAAGCTGCTAAAATAACTGGGAGAGGTCAATGCAGTCCATTTCAGCCAATAGTTACATGAGTAAGTATTAAGAGATTAGGCTGAAGCCAGACACTGCAGTGCCCTTGAACTAGCAACTCTCCATGACATTTCTCTCAAGGCTGAAAATAACTAAATAAATACTAGAGAATTTTAAGAAGAATTCAGAAGATGCTCTGATGCACGGCTAGTCAGTAATCTTTTCTTTATCAGGGTAAAAAAAAACCAAAGCAATTTGTTAAACGAAACATATTAATGGCTTGTTCTTACTTTGTACTGATAAATGTAGTGCACTTGAGGGCTGTCTTGATGGAGTTTCTGCTAAATATATCCTGCACCAAATCATATCAGCTTTATAAAGCCTTACTTAATTATAATGAAAGAAACAGGCTTTGGAAATATGCTTCAGGGTGGCTTTTACACAGTATTCAGTGTTTACTGTTCTATTTTAGAAAGCAATTCATTACTCGTTAAATATTTGCCCTTTTATCAGCATCCACAGTGATATATACAGTATATATATTCCTCTCCTGAGCAAGGACTTTTGTTGTTTTTTGTGTATTATATTTTTACAAATTCAATCATTCTTGGAATATAGTAGTACATAAGGTTGTGTTGTTTTTTCAAGAGCGAAGGGTAAAAAATAAAATATCACCCAATGATATGAGCTTGCGAAATGCAATAAAGCACATTAATAAGAAGCAGTGTATCAAGGCAAGTTAATAAGTCACTAAGTATAATTTAATGCATAAAAAGATAAAAGAAACCATCCACTTCCTCTCTTGTCTCACTTGTCATTTGTGTCTCCCTCTTTTCTTTGTCCATCGACCTAGGCGGTCTTTGCAGGATTTTCTCTACCCTCTTCTCATAATGTGTCCACAAACCTGAAATGGCTTACGTGACTCTCACGTAAGAAACACTGTGAAATCATGCCCCTTGTGCCACCTCCTTATTTTTCTCTCATCTTTCCGTATCCACGATGAATTAAGCATTAAGCAGAATGCAGCATACAGTTGGAAATCTTAATGCCTGTATATCCAGACAAAAGCCAAATACCAAAAGAAATATTAATTGGAAAGTATTTTATTATTGTATTCTCTAAGTGTTATTTATTCAATTATTTAGTGTGTCCTTTAGCATATAAGTCCTACACCTTCTCACTACACCAGCTTGCACTGTGGTATAAATAGAGAGACTCACGCAGGAGACGTTCACTACACTGTACCTGTTGAAGACGAAAATGCTCGCTACCCTTGCTCTCACCTGCGCGCTGTTTCCCATAGGTAGGACACGTCTGTATTGGCTATTCTTCAATAATAACGGATTTTTTTTTTATCATATCTGGTTTTTAAAAGTGTATTCCATGCAAACGCATAACCGTTGGGGGGGGAAAAGGATGATTTATATACCTCTTCATACATGCTGGCGAGGGCTTACAATAACCGACAGCTGTAACTACAGGTCCTGCTGAAACGGAAAGTATCCGAAGTCTCACGAATGGAATTGGAAATTCCATTTAGCAAACTCACGTCTCGTTTCATGCCAGTGAATAACCTTTTACCCTTCGTCGTATTTTATTTTTTATTGGTACAGCTTCTGTATGGTAGCTTTCTATATATATATAGGAAAAGAATATTTATATATACAGTATATTTTGTTTGCATTTCACAAAGGGAAACAAAACGCAGATGGTTTGATTTTAAAAGGTCTGCACAGGACTGGAGCGTGTACTCGCAACGTTATCTTGGATATTGCCTGTCCCAACTCACAGATTTAGTTGTATTTGGTCGTCATCATCATCATCCATCATCGTCACGAATCTATATTTGAAATAATAATTCATGAAGAATTAAAATTGAAAGTATACACACACGCATATTTTCCTAAGGATGACTTGCTCCGGAAGGCAGCGACTGCTCTTCGATTTACTCTCAGCTTTGCTTTTAATATTTTATGATTTACAGTCTTGCCATTTTGTAATGAGCACCATCTTTAGAAGACCTGTCTTTCTGATTTCTGATTGATTAAATCAACTAATCCGTGCTAGTTATATTTGCCGTATACCTGTATGTGTTGCGACTTAAAGATGAATTAATATTTTACATCTCATCTCATCTCATTCTCATTTACATGACTCATTTACAATGTTTTAATTGTAATTAAGTTACCCCAGTGCCCTACCACCTTTTTTGTGTGTGTTACCTGGAGTGTAGTGTATCTTTCTGATAAATGAATAACGACCAAAATTAAGAATGAAAAAATAAGACCAATTCATATTAATGTGTGTGTGTGTGTGTGAAAAATTATCCACCGTATCCAAAGGATTTTTTCGTTTTGAACGAGCTGTCAATAGCTAATGGATCTCTTTGGGCGGTTTAAACACTGAATAGGGTGTTCTACACTCGTGCATTCGTTAATCCACGTTTGAAAAGCAGAGCAAATTAACTCTTGTTGCGTGACCTTTTCTGAGCAAACCTCGCCAATCTTTTTTTTAATCTTTGTCCGGCCCAAAAGCTGTGATAAAAACTCTCATGTGAACAACAGAATTCTTTGTCTGTCTGGTTTTAAGGTTGGAAATAGGTTTAATTGAACAAGCGGTGACGTCGCCCTCATAGCAGTCAAACCGCACTTCTGAGAGTAATAACCCTTCATTTAACTACATGTAGATATGTGGGTTGTGAAAAATGCTCTTTTTCAAATATGAACTTTAAACTCTAAAGGTTCACATTTACTACACTGAAAAAATCAAGGTAACAAAAATGGCAGAATACATCAAGTCCAGTTACTGTGTCAGGCATCCAAAGCTGATTGGTAGAAACTACAGCACGTACAATTACGAAGTTAAATTAAGTAATAGGATAACAGGATTAAATTGTGCTAAATTATAGGACAGTGAAGGTAACGACATCTTGAAATTAGGAAGGTGTTATCCCAAATACTCTACATGTCAATTAAATTAAACCAATACACCATCCCCTTAGTATAGAGCGATGGCAGATCAATAACTGATTTACCTAATGATGAGCAACAAGGAGAAACATACATATAATGACAGAGTAAAAAAAGACACCCGGGTTTCCCAAAAACAGTTTAAGACGCTTTTATAGACAACAACCCTTTACTCCAATACTGGAATTGCAGACAGCGTTGGAATCGCTGTAAACCTGTGGAAACGTGCGAAGCACGAATGGTTGAATAGAAGGAAATAAATGATAGATTTAGCTTGTAATTCACTAAGACGTGTTTTGAATGCTAAAGCATCTTTGAAGGGCTTTACCTGTATTACTTAATACATCTTGCTAGCTGGGTAGTGTAGTCTATTTAAGAATATGCCATTCCGATTAATAAGAGAGCACTTCTATTTCCACTCGCCTGTGTGATTATTGCACACGTTACAGTATCTTAGGGTACATGGGCAGGGCAGTCGATCCAGTATGCATGACAATAATAACATATAAGAATGTTGTTTTCTTTACTTTTCATTATTATAACTGCTATTATTACTACTATTACCAAGCCAGGTAATACTGTCAGACATGAGTGAAAACGTGTGGTTGTAAATATGATTGGACTAAGGAAGGACTGATATTTCTCCTCTGTTTGTTCTGCAGCCGATTCTCTGAAGTGCTACCACTGTTTGAAGAATCCGTGCAATACCACTCAAACATGCTTATCTTCAGAAACGTGTTTAGAAACCGCCTTCGAAAGCGATGCTTTTCTGGGTAAGAGATCACATGGCCGAGACTAGAATCTGCTGCCTGTTGACCGTCCGTACTAAGATCCCTGTATCGTTGAATCGAGGAGACATTTTTTTTACAGGCTTTACTGTAAAAAGTGATTCCGAAATTCTGCGAGGTGTGCCCTCCTGTGGGACAGTTGGCACATTCACAAAAACATGTTAATTACATGCCCTGTCAGCCACCAGGGGGCGCACACGACAAACCATTTCAATTAAACAAATTACATACATACATGTCAAATAAACTACACTTAGAGGAGAATTCTTCATTTACATGATGGCTTCCAACGGATTAAACCTATTGTTTTCAACAGATACAGACAGTTTAAAGTGATTCATTTGGATGCCTGAAATACTGGGATACATACGGGGAACCCCAGATTATAGGTGGAAAATGGCACCTAGTGTCTAGTAATTCAAGAGTGTTATATAGAGTAGCTGAACACTCTAAACCAGGGAATAGAGAGACATCTTTAACACCAGTCCTAAAAGATGTTTAAAACATTAAGTGTTTTATGTAAAAGGGTGGAATAGAAATGGACAAAGAACTACCAATTAGGAAATTGGATAAAAAAGATATTGTTTGAAAGAATGATATGATTTTTCATGCACTGTATCATTACAACTGTTGTTCTGTTTTTTTTCTGCAGGCAGTTGGGACTCTAGTTCCATTTTGGGCTGTGCAGACCCAAAAGTTTGCAAACAGACCTTTTCCTTGAACGCTGGGAAATTTAGAATAGCAGGGGACACAGAATGCTGCAACACAGATCTCTGCAACAACCAGACACAGCATGGTAATAATCCTGAGCACTGTTAAGTTGTATTATAGATCATGGCAACTCAATGCATGACCCTTCCAATCCACTGTGTGTATGATACAACCAACACTTCCGCAGACACACGTATCCTGCTCTTTATCATTACCATCAATGAGAAGCTACAGTATAGCATCAAATCCTGTGATGGCTTGAACTGGAGAATGGGGAAACTCCAGTCTCGAGGTCTTTAGGATTGTCAGGATTTCTTTCCACCTCTCAAACTATTCATCTAATAATAATAATAATTCCTTACATCATTGCCGCACTCCACTCAGAGCACTTTACAGGTGTATATTGTTACAGATTGGCTCTGCAGTCTGTCGTGGGTGTTATGTTAGAGAGATGTAGTTTGGGGGAAAACACACAGGGGTTTAATAGTGCAACAAAGTAGGAGGGTCAGGGCACAATCCATGAGTCCAAAACCATGAGATCCATCCTGAGATGGTACAAGGTTCAAATCCCCGGAAAGGGGGAAAACACAAACAGACACATCCAGGGATAACAGGGCTACGTCTTCCAGGTCCCGAGCTCAGAAGTCAGTCGGGAATGAGGCCTATGCCCTCAGGCATCCAGCAGCCTGGTGATAGGCAGGCCTCGCAACATCCGAACACTATGGCCAGCAGCCACATCACCCTGCAACTCACAACTAGCAACCTACTGAAGCTAAGCAGGTGTGAGCCTGGTCAGTACCTGGATGGGAGACTCCTGGGAAAAACTAAGGTTGCTGCTGGAAGAGGTGTTAGTGGGGCCAGCAGGGGGCGCTCACCCTGCGGTCCATGTGGGTCCTAATGCCCCAGTATAGTGACGGGGACACTATACTGTAAACAGACTCAGTCCTTTGGATGAGACGTAACACCAAGGTCCTGACTCTCTGTGGTCCCAGGGTGTTTCTCGAAAAGAGTAGGGGTGTAACCCCGGCGTCCTGGCCAAATTTCCCATTGGCCCTTACCAATCATGGCCTCCTAATAATCCCCCTCTATGAATTGGCTTCATTACTCTGCTCTCCTCCCCACTGATAGCTGATGTGTGGTGGGCATTCCAGGTTGGTGTGGCTGCCGTCACGTCATCCAGGTGGGGCTACACATAGTCCCCATTACCTGTAAAGTGTTTTGAGTGGAGTGTCCAGAAAAGGAATTATTATTACAAATACAACGTCCATCCAAGAGTGGAGATTTTTTTACGGCCTTTGTTGACCAGAAGCTTTCTTTATCTGTTCATCTCTCCCTTTTTCTGTCTCTCCACAAGTAATTGATTAGATTAATTGATTACAAATGTTTGAAATTTGTTGGGAGATGTCAGTTTTACTGGTAAGATCAGAGACTGGTCTTACTTTATTTATTTTTGTTTCACATTTTAATGTATTCTCTGGTGCTTTGGGGATAGGTAACTGGACCATATTTACAGTACATTCATTGCAAGTGTTACAGCTATGTTTGTGCCTTATTTCTTATATATTTTTGTGTTTTGCTCTAACAGCACTGAATACAAACAACACCGCAAATGGAAATATATGTTTTACTTGTGAAGGGAGCAACTGTACACATATTATGAATTGTGTAGGGAATGAAGATCGCTGTCTCAAAACAACAAGTAAGTAATTGTTTAGGCATTAGGTCGAATCTGGTGTCCAAAACGTTTAATTTCTATCCGTCAAAAATTCATCTATCATTTTCTAACCACTTGTTTCAATTCAGAGTTGCATGGGAGCCAGAACTTATCCTGGCAAACAACAGGCACGACGCTGGGTACACCTTGGATAGGATGCCAGTCCATCATAGGGCAGACAGGCACAAACAAACATACACTCACACCAGGGTCAGTTTTCCCAGAAGCCATTTGACCTACCAGTGTGTTATTGGACTATGAGAGACCGGTACATTGCCAACCACTGCACTGTCTTACACAAGATAACTAGGATAATTATTTAAGACCTTTTTGTTGTTGTGAGCTACCAATAGATATACTGCATTCATGGAAGGGTTAGCAAAGTTGTATTTCATGAAAAACAAATCCAATCCTTTATTTCCCACGGAGGACCAAAGAAATCTTCAAAGGCACATCAGCCACACCAGACCATTTTATAAAAATACTCCACAGTGAAACTTAACACTTTGCATGGTATTTCCATAGTTGACTGACCTTAGAAATATACAAATGCTTGCAGATTTCTGTCAGCATCGCATTGTTACTTTTTCATTAGAATTAATTAAATCATTAATCTTTATTAGAATAATATAAAATGATGTTAATAGGAGTTTGAGAGGAGGTCAAATTCTAATCTTGTGCTTCTGCTCCCCTATCTAGAAATACTCTCATGGCTGCCCACATCCCTTCCCTTCACCCCAACTTCACCATTATAGCTGCCTCCCTGGTTCATTCCTTGTCAGTCAGCACTGATCTTCAAGGCAGGGCTGTCATTTCCTCAAACAGAGGAGTTAACGGCAAAATAAAATATATGTTACCCCTTTACTTGATATTTTTCACCTCATTTTATTGTTATTAGAATTTGATGGAACTACTGAATGCACATTCAGGATGCCAATCTCCTGGAATCAATAATTAAAATAGGACAGATCTCAAATGGTTTTTTTAAAGCTTTTGATTGCTATTTGCTTTGTGTTTTGTTTTAGTCTCAGGTGCTCATGATGGTGAGAGCGTCGTGAAAGGATGTGTAAGTAGGAACCTTTGTGTCAGAAATACTTTATCAGTTCTGAAGAACACAGTTCGGGAGGGACTGTACTGCTGTGAAGGCAAGCTGTGCAACAATGCCAAGTTTACCTGTCAGAGTGCCACCCTGCTGCTGGGGTCTATCATCATCCTGAAACTCTTCTTCTGACACTTCTGAAATAATACTGTCCAAAATAATAACTGTCATGCTTTTATAAATCTCTCCATGGGGTGTAATTGATCTTTAATGGTATCTTCTTTTTTACACGGGGAGCTTTAAACAACTTTAACTGGACATGATTAATCCTGGACATGGTTTTCTAGGTCTCTTTAAGACACCAACGCTTAAATTTGCTTTTCACAATGTCAAAAAATGTCATTAACATCCCTCAAATTTCTGATTCTGTCCCTACAGGAAA